AGCGTTGAGTATTCTTGGCTCACAATCTCTGTCTTTTAGTATTTTGAATATATCCTCCCATTCCTTTCTGGCTTTTAGGGTTTGTGATGAAAAGTCTGATGTTAGCCTGATTGGGTCTCCCTTATAGGTGATTTGACGTTTCTCTCTTGCAGCTCTCAAGATTCTCTCTTTGGGGCTGGCCCGGTGGTGCACTGCTACAGTGCGCCGCTTGGGAAGCGCGGCGGCGCTCCCGCCGAGGGTTCGGATCCCACATACAGACCGGCCGATTACTGGCTGAGCGAGGTGCGGGGGCAACACCGAGGGTTGCGATCCCGTTGCCGGTCATGAAAAAAGACAAAAAAGGAAAAAAAAAAAAAAAAGATTCTCTCTTTGTCTTGCCAATTTGACTCTAACATGTCTTGGAGAAGACCTTTTTGGGTTGAATATGTTTGGAGATCGTTGAGCTTCCTGGATCTGAAGATCTGTGATTTTTCCTATACCTGGGAAGTTTTCCGCCAGTATTTTGTTGAATATGTTTTCAATGCAATCTCCTTTTTCCTTCCCTTCTGGGATATCCATGACTCAGATATTTGAGCGCTTTAAGTTGTCTGATATCTCTCTCAGATTTTCTTCAATGCCTTTGATTCTTTTTTCTTTTTCTTTTTCTTTTTTTTTTTTTTTTTTTTGTCTGCTTGTGTTATTTCGAACAGCCCATCTTCAAGTTCAGAGGTTCTCTCTTCAACTTCGACAAGCCTGCTGGTTAAACTCTCTGTTGTGTTTTTTATATCACTGAATAGCTTCTTCAATTTGGCAAGTTCTGCTACAATTTTTTTCAGGGCATTGATTTCCTTGTACATTTCCTCTTTCAGGTCCTGTATACTTTTCCTCATTTCCTCATGATGTCTAGCTGAGTTTTCTTGTATCTCATTCAGTTTCCTTAGAATTATCACTCGAAATTCCTTGTCAGTCATTTCAAGGGCTTCTTGTTCTATAGGATCTAGAGCTTGAGATTTATTATCTTTGAGTGGTGTACTTTCTTGATTTTCGTGTTTCTGGTATCTTTTCTTTGATGTTTATTCATTGTGGCAGAGAGTTTCACAGTTCACAGGTTGACACTATGGCCTGACTAAGATTTTGTTGGGGTTGCCAATTTGGTATGGCTACCTCAGTGACTACTCAGTTGGACACTAGTGTCAGGCAAGTCCAAAATTGACTACC